AGCTCGCGTCATTGTACAAATTCGCTAATCTTCAATTCGGCGTTAATCAATCAACACCGAGGCGGGCGGGAATGTTACGACAAATCGGCAATAGCCGCCGCCAAACGGTTGTTGTTCTCAAATCAAGAGTTGTTTGTTCCGCCTCGCATGTGTTGGCCTTCCGCCCTTCACGTGCTCGGTCCATGACTCACCGCGTGTCCACCTCATGTTTTTTCGCTCCGACCAATCCGTCGACATCGCCTGATCACCAGGCTTCACCGAATTTCGCGGTCGTTTCGGAGCATCCGCGCGCGCCTTCCGCGAACAGTCAGTCTGTCGAAATCTTTTGTACGAGCAGCGCAGTCGTTTAATTCGCTCAAATAAAAGTTTGAAAAACCGGAACTTATATCTAGTACGACTTCTCTCAAACAAACCTGATTTCTCCCCGGCAACTCTCTCAACATTTCTGGTCCTTCGAGCCGGATGAAGAAATTTGGATCTGTTATCGCGATTTCGGTTGTTAATCATCGCGCTGATTGTCGCTTTTATAGACGACTCACGGAACCGCGAAAACTCGCTGTTTCAATAGTGCTCTCGTGAACTCTCTCGCTCGAAGGGTGTAACTCGAATCTAACGAGTTCTCAATCCTCCGCCTCTCGATTCATTGGGACGGCAGCTCCCGATCATCTAACAGAAGCAAGCCCTGCTGCAAGATGACCTCCATCGATACTTCCGTCCGCCAGCAGGAGCATTTATATCACCGCATCGCACACACCATCGAGAACTTTAAGAAATTGGGTAAAGAAAAAATCACGCCACACTCAGTGGATGCGCGCACTCAACTGCTCAATGATTATTGGCAGCAATTCGTAAGTGGACATGAATCCATTCTCACAAATAGTTTGGAAGGGAGTGAGGCTCACAAGTATTTTACGGAGGACTTGTATTCGGCATGTAAAAGCGCATATATCATTGCCAAGTCCGATCTAATCCAGCTCCGCGCTCTATTGACGGGAGAACAAGATCAGCCGAGAACCCGCGAGTCCTCGACTGGCACATCTCGGGCGTATTCGAACCATACTCGCTCGCTCTCGAAAATCGCACTGCCAAAGTTTTCGGGCGACTATCAGTCATGGCCTTCTTTCCGCGATTTATTCCAATCTATGATTAATGCTAACTCGGATATCTCCGCGGTGGAAAAGTTACATTACTTGAAAAGCAACGTCACCGGGGAAGCCGCACGCCTGATCGCGAATATTCCCATCACCGCCGACGAGTTCCCTCGCGCCTGGGATGCCCTTGTGGCGCGCTACGAAAATAAGCGCGCTCTTATCTCCGCTTACTTGGATCAGCTATTTTCGCTAGCTCCACTTTCGCGCAAATCGGCCAACGATCTGAAGGAATTGCTATCAACCGTGAAGGAAGCCCTCGGAGGCCTCAAAGCTCTCGGTGCTCCGGTTGAATCCTGGGATCTATTCCTGGTCTATTCAGTCGCGCGTCGACTTAATGCCGATTCCCGCGAAGCTTGGGAACTTCTTTTTGGAAATAAGTCTGAACCCGCCACGTTTCGCGAGCTAGATACTTTTCTCGACGGGCGGATTCATGCGCTGGAAGTGATCACTCCGTGCATCGCCGCGAAACCTCCGCGATCAGCGAAGGCGCTTCAATCAAAACCGCCCGCTCGGGCTAATGTCGCGGCTACCTATGCAAGCAAGTGCTCGTTTTGTAACGGTGCGCATTATATCGCCTCATGCCCGGAATTCTCCGCCAAATCGGTTGAGGAACGCCGCGACGTGCTAATTTCGAAACGCCTGTGCTTTAATTGCCTCGGCCCTCATCGCATTAGTGAGTGCCACTCCAGTAAGCGATGCCGCTTGTGTGGCGGCCACCATCACTCGCTCATCCATCGCGCGACTGCTGACACAAGTGCGACATCCGACAAGGAGAATCCCACCTCACTCGCTTCGGCCACCGTTCCGTCTACATCTACGCTGAATCCAGCGGCCAAATCGTTTCACGTCGCGCTCGACTCCGCCGAGCCCCGCTCTTTAACTTTACTCGCGACCGCTTGCGTTCGCATTCTCCGCGATCAAGGAAGCGCCATCGAAGCCCGCGCGCTTCTTGATCAAGGCTCGGAGCTTTCGTTTGTCCGCGAGTCACTAGCTCAGTCTCTTCGGCTCCCGCGTCATCGC